GGACAGAAAAGAAGGCCTCAATATTAAATTACCTAAGAAAAGCAATCTTTATGATGGCAAGAACTACACAGGAATCATACTGCTGTCTGTTCCTGATAAAGTTTTCACAGAATTATTCTGAAGAGGATGAGAACAGGAGTCAATTCCAAAGTTCATAATCACCAAGCAGGAAGGTAGGTTTCAAGGCAGGACATTTTTATCATCATTGAGCAGTCCCTGGAGTGAAATTCTCTACAATATGTCAACCATTAACTTTGAAGAGGCTTTTGATAGCAAAATCAAAGAAGTCTTCTGGAGACTTCTTGGGAAAAGACATGGCATATGGCAGACACAGTTTGACACTGGAGACACAATTTGCTGTTTCTAACATCATAGATGACATGGCACACCTGTCCCATGAGCCAGTTGTAAATGCATGACAAAACCATATTTCTGACATTGATATCAGCAAGTCTTTGCTTATATCAATGTCAGAAATATGGTTTTGTCATGCATTTACAATTGCTCATGGGACAAAGGTGAAGCACAAAAATACTGTCACAGTAGAAGGACAGCCTCTAAAGGAGATGAGTACTTTAACTTCAAGGAGTGCTGTCAATACACTGTGAAGAATGAATGTAGATGTGAGTACAAGAGCAAGCAAAGATAACTCGCATTCATGATCCTCAAGATTACTCATTTTTGTTTAGCGGCATATCAACCTCTATGGGTTATTTAATGCTGAAATCTAAATATTTTGTATGCAATTTTATGGCTTCAACTACAGATATTTTGTACATAATTTTATATTTTCAGAGCAAATTTATGTTTTTTTAGATATAAAATTTGTAAATGATAAAATGTATTGCTGGTAACTTTACTATAAAAATGTATTTTGATATGTTGTATTGATTGTCATTTTTCTATAAAAATGTATTACGAATGGTCATTTTTCTTATGGAATCTTCCATCGTATTCGACATATGAGGGTCAAGCAGCTCAGTTTCTAGAAACTGACAGCACAGACACTATCACATATAATTTGATTATAATGGTGAAGGCTTTGTGCAGAACCAACCATACTTTTTGAAGGGCCAAATACAGAGACCTGGTGCATTATGTGCCACAATGTCCCCAAATGACCCTCTGCAAATTTTGAATTCAGAGTTGTCCTTCTCCTAGATCAGTTGCCATCCAAGGCTATAGAACCTAGTCTGTCCTGCTATTTAGCTATAGTTGGAGGGATAAGAAGAGGATTAATACCTTTTCCAAGGGTATTAGCATATAAATGAATGTAATGGATTCAACTGGAATTTGAATTCAGATCTTCGATCACTCAATCCAAGCTGATATCCACTACTCCACCATGCCATATATATATATATATATATATATATATATATATATTACTGCTATTTTTACCATAATGTATTTTTATACTTTATTAGTGAACCACCAAACAAAAATCAAAACACTATTTTTCCATAGCTTGGATCCTAACAGCTGCTACCACCTCAGGTCAGGGTGAATCTGGTAACAACAGCAATAAAGAAGTGGTTCCACACTCCTGAAAACCTCCAATATCTCAACCAGAAGCCTTGCTGCTGGATGTAGTTTGAAACTCAAGAGAGATATAAAAAAAACAACAATAGGAAAACTGTGCTCCTCTATTGTTCAAAAACATGGAGAATGAGAAGTGCAACACTATAAAAATCTCAACATTCATCAACAACTGCCAATGCAAAATCCTTCACATTCATTGGCCAGAGAAAATCACTAATGAAAAACCATGGAAAAGGACAAACCAAGAACCAGTTGCTGCAGATGCTGAGAAGAAACTGGATTTGAATCAGGATCAGGAAGTCTGCCAACAACATCATCAGACAGGCCTTGAACTAGGAGCCAAAGGGAAAGAGGAATGTGTGGAAAAAGCTCTTCTATGTGCTGTGTCCCTTCCAGACATTGGGGATCATGGCTCTCCACAACTTGCTGTCTTTGTAGCTCTTAATAAATGTTGTCTTTTTGTTATCTTTCCCAAACTTTGCTCCAACATCCATTCACTCAGGTAGGTTATACCTCTGTCCCTCTTTCCTTTAATGTCCTGTAAGTATCAAATTTTCTAAGCCTTCTTTCTTCATTATGTGCCATAAAAATTTCAACTATCTCTTCCTGATATTAGTATAAGTCTCCTTTTTGTTACCATTTTCTCTAAAACTTTGTCGTTGCTCACATGTCTGGTCCACGGTATTCTCAAGCATCCTTTTGTAGGACCACATTTCTGTTGCTTCAAGTTTCTTCTTCATTTGTGAGGAGATTTTCCTGCATTCACTGCCATATAGGAGGACTGATTTACTGAGGTAGAAATGCAGAGAAGCAGCCACTCTAGAGATCTGAAGAATATTGGCCAGAGTGAAGTGCATTGGCAGAATGCTAAATATGAAACAAGTGGCTAAACTAATATCTATTCATATTTTGAAATCAAGTTTTTATAATATAAAATATTAATATATAAATATACTTCTGATTCAATATTATCACTTTAGTAAGAATTGATACTGATAATGAACATTAGGAAAATATCCTTTAATGTGGCTCATATATAATTGAATTAACACCTAAAAGAGCGCAGATTTCAGCTCACAAATGACAAGCGGTGGATTATTAGAAAACACAGGTAAAAGAGCAAGAAAATCTTTTTTCTGCCAATTTTGATAAAAGCCTCTCACAAAATTATTAATTCATTGTTTATTGACTTAGTTTATTCTGCTCTCACACTGATAATATCAAATGTAGATTAAAGGAAATCAAATTACACTACAGATGTAAAGCAGAATATATTTTTTTCTGGTTAAGCTATAAATAATCATGGTTATAGTTGTGCTAATATTGCACAAAAGGCTGTATGAATGATTCTTAGAAATAGATAATTATTTATAGACAAAAACACACCTACAAGTACTATTCAAAAGTTCAGAGAATTTGACCATGATAATAATGGATTAATATCCAATTTCCATATGACCTTTGAAGTTGTTTCCATGGCTCACTAAAGGGAGCAGCTTAAGTTTATACTACATTAAGTTTATGTGTGAGAATGTATCCCCACTTGAATTGGCTTAGGGCACACACTAAAGGGAGTCCTAAATTTTATCTGGGACAGATTTATGACTGTGTTGATCAGTCATGAGAAAACTGCTTTCTGAACAAGCATGCTTAATTTCATAAGGAAAATAATGTTTATAAAAATGTTTGTTTCCATTCATTTTCATTTGTTCACTCACACATTCCCATACATAATCACATATATAAACAATAACTAAGTACAATGTTTCTTGAATTTTCTAACTTTTCATTGAAGGTAATGTATCAGCATTTTAAGCCATTAGTGATTTTCATTAAGAAAAATCATACATTTGCTCTCTAGAGAATAAATATACTCTTTCTTTTACAAATATTTTTGTATACTCAAATCAATAAATTAGAAAAAAAGTGTACTCAAAATTAATAAATTAGAAATGGATCATATGCAGCAGCATGTGTTAATCACTTCATTATCAGTGATAATAAACCAAGACATCAGTTAATTATAAAAGGAATCTTTCACTAAAGAAAAAAATAATCAGCTTTTGCTTATGTTCATAGCGTGGCATTCTATATTAGTACTCCATGGTGCATAGTCTTTTGTTAAGAAAATGCCTGTGGTATCATTCATGAAAAATCACTTTGACTTCTTTTTAGTACTGCAGCCTGCCTTAAGCTGCACTGTGCCTCATACAGGCCACTGTTCAAAAAAGGTTGCTCATGTCTGGCGTAGATAATAAAGTCTAAAAGTAAGCTCTTTAAAATGGTTAATCATTGGCGGAAGGGAAGTGGAGCAAAAAAAAAAAAAAAAAATGAAAATCTTCAAGATCAAATGCTGTTTGGCTTTAAATTAGAGCATTCCAGTTGTAGGCAGGGTGGCAGTGAGAGTCAGTTGTGAGCCATGAATCATCATCTAGAGATAGGCAGAGAGGGGGTAGAAAAGAATTGTTCTTGTTGGCTTGGCTCTTGACGCACCAACATGATTTGTAACATCACAAACTGAAGGTGGCCAACTATCCAGCTTTGACACCGCCAAGCTCCTGATGCCAAACTGCTGAGATTTGTATCATCTCAATATTGTCACCACCAAGCTACAAGCGTTCCTCATCACCAACACATGAGAGTAATATTTCAAAACAAACAAAATGTGTTATTCATTTTAAGTTTAGTGCTGTATCAAAAATATCACATATCTTATATAATTTATTTAATAAGAATTTGAATCTGCTTCATATGTTCTATACATTATTGTACATTAACAGTTTAATATTTTAAAACTTTATACTAATATATTTGGTTTTCTTTATAAACCCTGTCTTTCTACAAATATTTTCAATGTTGTGATGAGCTATTTTTCCTTAGTGCTTTAACAGCATGAATTTAAGCCTGTTACTAGATTGGTAACTAAGTTTCACTGTCTTATTGTTCAATGAGCTAGATGCAACCATCTCTTGTATTTCAAATTTATTTTCTCACACTTCTCATCTGTGGAAACCCCTTCCAACTTCTTGCTTCCTTGTCACATACAATCTTCAAAAATTTAAATGTAGCGTCAATTGCGATCGTCTGTCTTTCGGAATACTGTTCCTTTATTTTCCTTTACTTCACTAAAGTCTTCTCATTTTGTTTCACTCCCTGTAACCTCCCTGCATCCTAGTGGCATCATCACTTTGCTTGGGGTGAAATGATTAAAGAAAAAAAAAACCTTTCTTGTTGGTGATGTGTATAAAATGTTCTTTTCCTTAAGCTCCTTTGATTTACAAATAATGTCTTGTCACATAGTAACAGTTAGCCTGTTATATACTTAGTCTCTTCTCATCTTCTGTATTTGGATTTAGTTTGCTCAGTTAGGATTAGTTCACAATATCTTCCTTGGAAATGATGTCCATGTTAAAAGAGGCTCAGTGAAATAACATACAATGACAGCTCTTATTTCTCGAGAATTGAAACACTAGTTTTTGTATGATCACCAAAGTTAAGCAATGTTGAGCCTGGTCAGTATCTAGATGGGTGACCATTTGGGAGTACTTGGTACTGTAAGCTTGGATGTGCAGCTGGGGTAATGGATAACAGCTTGGAATTGGAAATCAGAGTGCCAATTCCAATCAAGTTCATTATATTCACTTGCAGGCAAATACCCTTGGGAAAAGTATGAATCCACCTTTTCACCCCCAGCTATGGGTTAATTACTAAAACTTGTATCAGTAAATCATTATTATCACCCCAAAATTCTTACAATCTAAAAACATTTTCTGGCTTTAATTAACCTGCAAAAAGTTGATAAGCCATAAAAAAATCAATTCCCATAAGACCATATTATCTAGCCAATTACTACCATCTAATATTTTATCATCAGTGTTTAAAAATTCATACTAAAAAATAATACAGTTCATACAAGGACTCTTGTATCTTACTTTGTAAATTTCTTTTCATTCCCACTTTTTCAAAAACCACTAAATTTTTATCTTCTGGTAAAATATTTGTGGTAAATTTAATTTTATTTTGGACAATATAATCATCCATTTTACAATTACAGCATTTTATATATAACATTGTTTTCAGTGTCAAGGCTTTTGCTCATGCTTAATCTTTTAAAATTAATGGCTAAAACATGGCATTCAAAAACTTTTTAGTGAACATTCAGTCAAAGTTAACTTTCCGCATTCTCTTTTTCTAATATCAATCAATCAGCAAGCAATTTTAAACTTAAGCCAAAATAAGTAAAAAAAAAAATACCTGGTGAGTGACATCTGTTGATGACCTTGTATGAAGCGATGAAGTTGAACCTTTGTTTTCATGACTTAAATTATCTTCAAAAATTAGCTCTTTCTTGGATTCTGGCAGGTGAACAGTTTTAACAATGTCTTGATCTGTGGTGATGGCACCAGAAATGTCAACATGAGATTTTGCAGGCTTTGCTGAGGAATTCACATCTTTTGGCTTGCACCGGTGAGTGTTATTTGCATCACTTCTGGAGGATTCTCTCCGTTGACTATTATTGCGGAGGATTTGAATTGACATTAGAGCAGTGACGATCACTGACAAGGCCACAGCCACCATTATTATTATTATTGCAAAATTTAAGTTGATGTCTTTGTCACTTTCAGAATTGGCAACATTTAGGACCCCAGAAGGTTTTGTGCTTGCAACCAATGTCAGAACCATGGTAGTTTTTGCAGACAGAACCGGAGTGCCACTATCCTTAACTACAAACTCTAACTCATAGGAACCAGCATCTTCTGGAGTAAGTGCCCTACTGGAAGACAGCCAACCATTATAGCGGTTGACTGAAAACAACTGCTTCTCATTGCCTCTCAAAATTTCATACTTCAAAAAGGCATTCTCTCGACTGTCCCCATCCGTCGCTTTTATCTGTGTAATATTTTTAGTGTGATGTGGGAAGTAAATAACGTCCAAATTGAAAGGGTTAACACTGGGAAACATAAAGTAGGGAATATTATCATTTTCATCACCAACTTCAACAATCACATTCACTGTATTATTCAAAGATGGTATTCCATTGTCTTTTACAAACACCTGAAATTCATAAGTGTCTTTGAATTCATGGTCGAGTGACATAAGCGTTGATATTAATCCTTCATCAGAAATCTGGAATGGCAAAAACTGTGTATTTTTGGTACGCAAAGAGTAACTGAGTTTTCCTCCAGGTCCCAAATCAGGGTCTCTGGCATGGATAAAACCGATACTGGACTTTTGGTTCTCAAACGTTTTGAACTTGACAATCTCACTATCAAACTGTGGTTTTACATCATTGACATCCATCACCTGAATAGAGAACTTACTTTCACTGTGTAATGGTGGTGAACCTTTATCTTGACAGGTGATGGTGACATCATGATGGTCTTTGGTTTCTCTATCCAATTTTTTTTTTACAATTACTTGATACCTTTTAATATTTAGGTGCTCGAGTAGGAACTTGTCATGGTGAATGACACAGGTGACATCTCCATTTGGTCCAACATCATGATCAGTTACCTTTACATAGGCAATGAACTCTCCAACATTAATATCTTCAGATATAACAACAGGATTTTGTATTGATGAAGAAAAGAAATTTACATTGATAATTGGAGGGTTGTTCTTCTGGTTCACAACATTGACCAGAACCATTGCAATAGAACTTAAAGATGGCTGTCCTCCATCTACAGCTTTCACATAAAGCCTAAAAGTGAAATCTTTACTTAAAATCAGCTTCTTAAGACAGAAAATTTCTCCAGTTATCTTATTTAATTTAAAAAGTGCCTTAGTTGCTTCAGTTGTTTTTGAGCTGAAATAATAAGTGACTCTACCATTTTTACCAGAGTCTGCATCTATTGCTGATAAAGTAATAACAGGTGAGGTTTCATATTCATTACTTATTGACACATTGTAGACCTTTTTAGAGAAGACAGGAGCATTATCATTAACATCTGAGACAGAAATGTAAACATCCAAAACACTTTGTTTAGGAGGAGAACCACTATCTTTTGCTACCACTTGGACCATATATGAGTCCTTAGCTTCCCTATTCAACCTTTGTTCAAGATTTATACCAAGCTTTGATGTTCCATCTATATTTTTTGAAACTGATAATGTAAAAGGTGCATCCAGGTTATGTTTTAGCTGGTAGTTAATTTGAGAATTAAGGATCCCAACATCCTTATCTACAGCATGTGGAATGTATTTTCTCATGCCAATCCCATCACTCTCAGAAAATTCAATACTAACTCTTTTATCAGGAAATTCAGGTCTGTGATCATTGATATCTTGTATTATGACTTTGATTTCTATGAGCTTCAAAAATGATGCAGCTTTCCGCACTGCAACTTCAACTGTTTGAAAACATTCCTTGTTGTAGCTGCAAAGTGATTCAGCATTTAACATCTGGGCTGTGTACATTTTCCCTGTCTTCTTAGAAATATGAAATAACTGAGAATTGCCTGTTTCAGTTGTTTGTATTTGACTGAATGTCAAATACTGATGTTCATGAGGTGGGATGCTGTCTAATAGAAAAGTGTCAGCACCTATGTCTCCTAAATAGGTACCGGGACTCTTACCCTCTTGAATATAGTAAGTAATATCAATACAAAAATACCTTGGTATCACAGACAACAAGAGACACAATTTGATCAACATTCTTGGGCTAGCTGTTGTTATTTTATCTTTATAATGTGGGGAAAATATTTCCCAGCATCTGAAATGAAAAACAAAAAAAATATTCATAATTATCTCAAATTTTCTTGAAATTAAGAAAGTTAACATTATTCTATTTCTATAATACCAACAAGTACTTAATTTTAAATGAGAGTTAGCAATATTGAATGACATATAACATAAGATAAATATTACATCTTAAGGCTTTATACACTGTGAATATTAAAATTTCAAGTAATTTACGACAATCTAGAATCCACTCACTGTTTCTCAGTGTACTAAATGATCTGATTTCTGACTGGTCCAAATTCCTTTTGTACCACACTAAACTATTTGGAATACAAGTCCTCATGTGTGTTGCTGCTATCACGATTCGGTTGTTTTACTCTTCAGTCTTCATCAGATGTATATTGATCTGGGTAACCTACATGTAATTCTAAGCTGAACACTATTTATTCTATGGGAGTAGACTTTTCTTGATCCACTGCCCATGTCTAGTGATATCTTGTCTAGTTCTTATTAAAAATATCTCATCTATTAAAATAATTATTAAAAATAAGAATTAGAAAAGATATTTTTAATAAGAACTAGATGAGATATCCTAGACAGTGAAACAAGAACAGTCTACTCCCATAAAGGGTTCAGAATTCCCAAAGTTACCCAGATTGATATGCACTTGATGAAGACCAGAGTGCACAACGACTGAAACATTGTGATAATATTAACAAAGATGAGGAAAATAGTCTGAATGAAAATAATGTAAATAATAACACATCATCTCAGAAATTCAGATAGAAATAATCTATTTGTGAAATAAATTAACATTTTTCAGACAAATACAACTCATTTTTAATTATTTGAAATATCAAATTATAATTGTTCATAAAAGTCATATAATTAAAAATAATATATCTAAAATTATTAAAACCAATAATTTTAAAACAAAAGATTTACTCTTGCATAAGATGGACTGAAAAATCTTTAATAGACAATCTTTTCCTTTGAGCAAGAATTACATCATTGAAGCTGTTCTTTATTTTAAGTTTCAAAATATTAAAAAAAAAAATTAAATTGGTTTGAAATTTGAAAAAAGTTGTGACATTTCTAACAAAACTCCAGCATGTTAAGAATTTCAAACTTGTAATTTGAAAGGAAGAATTAGCTCAAAAAGCATATAAATATGAGATCTGATAAGTTCGATAGATTTATCAAACATCTACCCCTGAAGAGCATTTCAATATGAAACTCTTGAGACATTCAAGCAGATAAGTCACTTGAATTTTTGATGTACTGAATTGTTTAAAACCATTTTTTTTTAATCATTTCACCTCAAGTAATACAACAAAGACACTAAGATGCAAGGGGTTATTAGAGTGAAAGAATATGAGAAAAATAAAAATATTATTAGGAGAGAGAACAATAAAACAGGAATTAAAACAGAAGATACTGATTGACATTGCAATTAAATTTTCCAAGATGAAAGTTGATTGGAAAGCAACAGGCCAGAAGAGTTTCACAAGCAAGAAATGCAAAAGAAAATGTTAGCATTGAACTTATGGTTAAATCAAGCAATTTCAAAATGATAAGACCAAACTGCTAATCTAGTAAAGGGCTTAAATTTGTAAAGTCGGTGTACCAAAGAGGAAAGCTATAAAAATATTTAATGAAAAGACACGGAAAAGCTATGTTACATCAGTGGAACTGAACGTAAGATATCAGATTTCTATCATTTGTTAGAGAAGATAGACACACAGATATGAAAATTGGCATATAGACCACAGTCGAACCACAAAAAATGCTGAATGTCAGAAATCACCTCTACAAAACTCAAATGTAAATGTAGTCTTGCTAGCTCATTTCACATATATACCATTGTATTATTAAAAG